TTTTTTTATCTGGAAGGAGCCAGAAAGTAGAGGACCTAGTTGTCCATCCCTCAGAATTCGGTTTCATCTCGTCCAAGCAGCCAGGCACAGGTACCTCTCCAGCTGGGCAGGTGGCACACTGCGAGGCTCCAGCTTTGGCATAACCTGGTGCATACAGGATGAATCCAAAGGTGGAGAACTGTCCAAAATGGCACGGCCCACTTCTTGGCTCAATTACTTGAAACTCCAAAGTTGATAAGTTGACAGGTATCAACTGGTATGAATGCTGATGGTAAACATGCAGCATCAGGCTGTGAGCGTGACATGTTGCTTCTGAGCTTCGCAAAAGTCACGTATTATCATGTATTTTGAGCTGTAAGACCATAGGACTTAGGACCTTGAACGTCCACTAACGAGCCACAGAGACTCACTGTCAAAGTTTCAATTTGAGTTTACGAAGTGTCACTGTTCCTTCAGTTCCTTTCAATCTGTGTGAAATGTCGAGTGCGCATTCCGTTGGCCGATTCCTTCGGCTTTCCCCACCTGTTGTGCACTCTTCGCACCGGTCATCCTGAGGAGCTCTTCCTGCTGGACAGGTCACGCATTCCAAGTCCTCAGATCACCATCGCTCGCCATGCCGCCGAACGAGCGCGAGCGACCCGGCCGGAAAGGACGGGACGCCGCCACGATGAGGGCGGTGGGAAGACACATGGCGCTTGGGGGAGGTTCAGTTTTCTGGAGAGGCTGACCCAGCGTATTGTTTACAAACCTGCCAAGTGCAGTTTGGGGCAGATCAGCAGGAAAAAACATGACGGAAGAAACAACTTTGATGTTGCATATCGAGGTGACAGGTTCCTTGCTGCGATCTCGGATCTCATTGGGAGCAAAGCAGCTGCAGCAGGAGGCCGCTGTGACGGCTGACCGGTTTTGGCCCTCAGCAACTTTTGGCGCTCCCTTCGGGCACGAGAAGGTGTCGCAAGATGCCTTGCGAAAGGCCAAGTAGCTTTGTCGCGATCCTCCAGGGTGCTCCAAAACAACATGTGTTCATGTGTCAGTCGGTGTCATTCGAGTCGGTGTCAGTCGGAAATGGTCTAGGTCAGAACCTTAGCCGCCTTAGCCTTGAGAAGGTTGGAAATCATACAATTGTGATGGCAACGTGTTTGTCTGATGTTTCTGTCCCCTATGTGGATTGCAAATAACTACTGCCTGAGGAACCATGTCCTCCAGCAACCAAGTTCAGCTTACCCTCGTCATGCATCAGCAAGCAGCGCTCAAACCCTTCGAGAAGAAAAGCCGTGCACCCTAAAGCTTCGCAACTTCCGACGCAAGCTCGAAAGCCCACAGCTGTCACCAACATTGTGTTCCGATCATCCCAAGTGCCTGCTCCAAGCTCAATGAAGCCGGAGTTCACAGGCCAACAGGCTTCATCAACACAAGCTAAGTTTGTCTGTGGACAAGGGCAGCTGGGACATTGTTGATACGACCAGGTCTGCCACATGCTGTAAGGCAAACCTAAAGCACTGGAACTGAGGCGCAACACACAACCAGACATGCCCGATCCAGTAAATGCATTGACCATAGCAAATGTATCAGGGATTGATGTGAAATTCCACGTTGACACGGGCTGATTGAAGCTCCGGGCACCTGCAAACATATTTTTCATGTCTTTGGCTGCTGAGGTGTCCCACATCCCAACTGGCTGGTCAAACGAACTCGCACGGAAAAACATTCCCGAGAAGTTTGTCACAGCGCTCGTGTCCCAATGATTCAGCGGTTGATCAAAGGAACTTGCTCCCTCGAACATGCCACCCATATCTTTCACATGAGAGGTGTCCCATGCACCAATAGGTTGGTTGAAGGCACTGGCATCGGCAAACATGCCTGCCATGTCTCTGACATTTGCCGTATTCCAAGCGTCTATGGGCTGGTTGAACTGCAGAGCAACGAGGAACATGGAATTCATGTCTCTAACTTTGCTAGTGTCCCAAGCACCGATCGGCTGATCAAAGGATGTGGCACCCCGAAACATGTAGGACATGTTTGTCACTGCACGTGTGTTCCACATCCCAATTGGTTGATTGAACTGAGCAGCGTTGTAAAACATGCTATTCATGTTTCTGACATTGCCAGTGTCCCAAGCACCTATGGGCTGATTAAAAGACCTGGCACCCCAAAACATAAAGGACATGTTCTCGACTGCAGATGTATTCCACGCTCCAATGGGTTGGTTAAATTGCACAGCACCGTAGAACAGGTCTGCCATGTCTCTGACATTGGCCGTGTCCCAAGCATTGATTGGCTGATCAAAGACGATGGCCCCAAAGAACATTTGTCGCATGTTCTTTACTGCTCCAGTCTTCCAGGACCCAATGGGCTTGTTGAAGGCAAATGCATAATTAAACATGTTCTTCATGGTTAAAACATGAGAAGTGTCCCAAGCATCAATGGACTGATCAAAGGACCTGGCACCCAAAAACATAAAGGACATGTCCGTGACAGCAGAAACGTTCCACGATCCAATGGGCTGATTGAACTTCACGGCATTGTGAAACATGGCCTTCATCTCTCTGACATTGGCCGTGTTCCAAGCATTGATAGGTTGGTCAAAGGACTGGGCCCCGTAAAACATGAAGGACATCTTCACGACTGCAGATGTGTTCCAGGATCCAATGGGCTGATTGAACTTCACGGCATTGTAAAACATGGAATTCATGTCTCTCACGTTTGCTGTGTCCCAATCACCAATGGGTTGATCAAAGGCAGCTGCACCCCAGAACATCTGTTGCATGTTCCTCACTGCTTGAGTCTTCCACGACCCAATGGGCTGGTTCAAGGACACTGCATTCGAAAACATATTCTGCATATTTGTGACACTGGTCGTGTCCCAAGCACCGATGGACTGATTAAAGGACGTGGCACCGTAAAACATGTAGGACATGTCCGTGACAGCAGAAACGTTCCATGATCCAATGGGCTGGTTAAACTTGGCAGCCTTGTAGAACATGGCTTTCATGTCTCGGACGTTTGTCGTGTCCCAAGCATCAATGGACTGATCAAAGGCACGGGCCCCAAGGAACATTTGTTGCATGTTCTTCACTGCTCCAGTCTTCCATGATCCAATCGGCTCATCAAACTTGACGGCCTTGTAGAACATCTTATGCATCGTTTGCACTCTGGATGTGTCCCACGAGCCTTGGTTCCCCTATAAAAATTCGAGACACTGCTAACAAAATGGAAGCTTTCACTCTGAAAAGGTCCTTTTTTGCAAGCATTGCGGGAGTCTTCGCAGGAAAACTCCTCAACATCGGACCAGGTTCCGGAACCTTCTCTGGAACATGCTCTGGAACCTGACACTGATCTTTCTTCCTAAGGAGTTTTCTAAGCGTACGCTGCTTCAACGAAAGGACAAGAGTCGCACGGTGAAACAACGCTCCAGTCGCATGGAGGAGATCGACCAGTCCATGGCGGTGGTTTGGCCACTCGACCGTTCACTGATGGTAGACACTGACTGACAGCCACAACCGTGAGTTTCGATGACATGAGGAAGGAATGCATGACACAGGAAGGGAGGAGCCGCACCCATGGAGATGAGAGAATAGGATGAGAGGACAAGCTGTGAGAGGAGAATCTTGCTGGCATAGTTTGGAGGCTCGTGAGTCTTGCAATGACCCCAAGGAGCAAGTGTAAGTCTACCTTGTTTCATGATGTTCATGGCAAATGAGGGTCTCTTTCACCTCAAGAATGAAAAAAATAAGTTTCTGCCAAGAGACCGATGGGCATATTGAAGGAGGTGGCTCTGTGGAACATGGAGCTCATGTCCACGACCTTAGAGGTATCCCAAGCGCTGATGTTCTCGTTGAAGCCATCCAAGTCTTTGAAAAGCCCACTCCTTAGGCAACGCGCTCAGACCTTTGACCTTCGCGACACAAAGGGCCTCAGCCTTTCTCCAAAGCTGCCAAATTTGAGGAGCATTCCTTGTGCTGAGGACTTGAGTTCTCTAGGCATATCTAGCTTGCTTTTGCCAAATTCACTCTCCAAAATCATGAATGGCAGGATTAGCTCGCAGCTAATGAACCCTAAACCTGCTTCAGAGCTCATGACATGAAGTTAGGCTTGGAGCCTCATAAAGCCTTGAGAAAAGAGCCAAATTAATCAAAACAAATTGAAAACACACTGAACACGTGTATTCTTGCATGCACCCACAGCTAGCTTCACCCAAGGTTCATGTTATTCACCGAGGAGACGTTCCATTCACCAGGCGCTCCCCACAATAATCTCAGCTGCATCTTGGTGGCCTGGTCTGCATTGTTCCACCTGCAAGATGCACTGCTGTCTTCATCCTATTTGCGTCAGAAAATCTGAAGAATGTGTGTCAAAGATTGACAAAAGTGGCTGCTAAAACATTCGGCAAGATCCGTGGTTGTGGCACGAAGCTCTCTCAGGGTGCCTCCGGGGAAAAGGAACAAACACACATGTGGAATGCTTGAAAAGCCAAGGCGCTGCAGCAGCGCAGCTCGCAACTCCGAGCTGGTGGAGAAGCCGCAAACTCCAGAGATCAACAGCAAAAAGCATCGAAGCACCATGGTGACGACCCAGGCAGTGACTTGATGGGTAGGCGAGGTACATATCTCAACAAGCCTACTGACTCTGTTGGCTCTGAAACCTACAGTTGCTATGGATGTGTGTATGTATATATATATATATGTCCTCAAATGTACTCGGGAATGACCAACGCGGGCACTTTGGGCTGTAAAAGCTGTTCCGCAGCATTTGTCAGGACGTCTGAGCCCAAGGATTTGGCATGTTCGCGACGAAAATCGCGTGAGAAGGTCAGCACCGCACAAAGGTTCATCGGTTGGAATCACTGAATTACGAAGACTGCTAGGTGGCTACCAAGATAATCCAACGTAAATCCTGCAACGATCTGGTACGACTACAAGACACATCAAGAAATATGATGAAATATGTAAACATCCCTACAAAAAATATCGAATATCTTCCCAAAATGGCGTAAGACAAGGATCAATAAACGTATTATCATGCATGTTCCATTTGAGAAATCCCTGCCGTGTTGCCGCCGTGTTGAAACTCGTTGCTTTTGAGTAGGGGGTTGCTTCAGGGCCAGTATAGGTGCAGTGCCTGGAAGCAAACATAGTGACCTTTTTCCACAGCTACAATACATTTAGTCAGTCGGATCTCAAACCAAACAATACGCCTTCCTTTGGTACAGCTTAGAAGAACGACTGAAAGTTCTTTACAAAGCTCCCTTTTTTCGCTCGAAGGCTTGGAAGGCGAGTGTGTAGCCACAAGATTGAATTCCCCCGGTCTGTCAAAGCAGCGGTAGATTCGAAGGTTTCATCGTAAAGTAGGCCTTGGACCTTTCGACTCCTCGCGAACATTGCGGCAGATTTTCCATAGTGCAGACCATCTGCTGTAACCTGTAGGAAGCTTCAACAGTCCAGGATCGATTCTCATCCAAGGAGCTTCTGTCCTTGGCCAATTTGGTCAAATGTCAAGCGCGCATCTTTCCTTGGAAAAAAAGCATCTTCAGGACCATGCTCATGTTAGCTGTGGCAGCTTTGTTATGCCAGGCTCAGGTCGGATATGTTTTAACCCCACTTCCCAAGAGGCTTTCCCAGGCGGTCAAAAGGCGTCACATCCCATCACCACATCGAGCCAGCAGATCTCAAGGAACGAGAGACTCTTACGACGACCGTTTTTCGAAACGACGACCGCTCTCTGAGGTGTTTTGCATCCGACAGATGAGGAACTGATCATTTTCTGGTCTGAGCTGCGTGAACCGGCTTCTCAGCTCATCTGAGTTGCCTGGTCTTGGTTCAATCACTTCCTTCTGCTTTGGCCAATGGCCCTGGTCTTGGCCAAATCGGCCCTGGTTAAGCAACAACGCCCGAATGGCCAGCTGGGGCCAGCTGGCCCTGCCAGCTGGTTCGGGGTCGGTGCCTGTTGTACTCCTTGTGGTCAAAGAATAAAGAGAGCGAAGGAGGAAGATTCTCATCGTCTGAACTGCTCGTGTTTCCCTCATGTCGTGAGCACTTCGCCCTTCTTTCGCGTCCCAAAAACACGCCGATCACGACGTGAAACCCAAATGCGACGACCACCAGCACGTTTGGAGCGAAGACGCACGAAAGAGGATGTGAAAAGAATCTACAGACGCCGTTCATGACAGGTATGGACTGACTGATCTGCGAATGCACCGGAGAAGGCCTTAGAAGAGATGGACTGATGGACCTCCCAACTTCAGTCTTCTGTTGTGCTGTAGAACCAAGTCCGATCTATCAACTCTATTTCTGAGCACCTATTCCACCGCCGATTCCGCCGGCGAGCACAGGCTGTGTCAAGCAGCCCACCTAGAGCCTTCAATGACCGGTGCCAGCGTCATGTTTCTTTTAAAACACATGGCGTAAAAAGGTACAAGCAGGTGCAAAAGATGTTCAATTTGCTCAGGGGAACAAAGGAGAGATGCATCGTGCGCATGAGCTGGAAGTAGAACTACAAAGTGCTCAATGCGTCCTTCATCGCTCGTCAAACCCAGGCCATACCGAGAAAGCGTCTTCGTATACAGGTTACGCCCTGCCAACACAATTGAGAGATAAAGCTGGAAGTTGCACTCTTCTTTATACCTGACGTCCTATCTTTCTTAAGGATTTACAACATGTTTGGATGATCTTCCTTTGGACCCCCTTCTTGAACTGCACACACGCTGCTGATGGGCAAAGATCCGCAAAGATCCGCTGCGCTGTTACGATGCCCGACGGGTGCAGAATCTGGCGTGGCAAAAAAATACTTGCTTTGGATTCTGTCTCCACACCTGGCATGTTTTTGGCCCAGGATTTGGATATCTGCCGTTTGGGTCCAGTGCCCAGGCCACTTTTGCCTCAACCATCGGGCTGAACCGAACGACGGAACCGACGATCTCAACGTCCAAGCGTTCGAACGATCCAATGTGTTCCTCGGCCTCCAGAAATTGGAGCTTCAGCTGCCCTGGTCGGTTCGAAAAGGTCCGATGAGGTTCATGGACGTCACAAAACTGGTCATTTGTGAGGACATCACCTTTGCTGAGCCTCTCAGTGCCTCTCCGGATGCTAAGGGTGTGAAGCCTCTAAGAAGTAAAAGAGCTTGCAGTTCAAGGCAACTTGGTCATAAAAAGATCTTTGCCCACGGCTTGAGCTGGTGGGCTCCTTTGTTTAGGTCTAGATGCAGGCTGCCAAATGTTTAAGACACTTTGCAGGGTCTTCCATCTGCTCATTTCTTCTTCATCTCAAGACTAACAAACCTTTTTTGTTCTGAGGGCTTCTGCTTGTGGCCAGAAAGTCTACCAACATGCAAGCAAGCATTGCAAACCGTGTCCGGAGTCTTGCTCCCGTTCAACTGTGATCCACAGCGACAGGATCCGACTGGGGTCCACACTGTCCGGCAGAAGGGATGAAAAGCAACTGAACCCGGCCGAAAAGGGAGGCACTTCGCCACATCCGCCACGTCACATCCGAACATTCCCACGGCTTCGCTGTCCTCAAAGCCCAATGATGTCGTGGCTTCACTTCGTCCTCTGGTGGAAGCCAATAGGGAGATGGTCAAATCGATGCAAAACTGCACAGTTTCTTCAGCAGCGTGGTCTGCGGCGATGCGCGAGCTCGAAGCGAAATCAGCCGCCGCTCCGCATGAGATGGCGCTGAACGCTTGGTTGGTGCCCAAAGCCCAGAGAATCGAAGCCGGGAGCCGTTGTGACAGGGAAATGCCAGGCGACGTTTCACAACTGCTTTGGTTCTTGTCACCAAAAAGCTCGGAAGGCTTTCAGCTGTGACATGATTCCGGACTTTCGGCGCTTTTGCTCGCTCTCTCGGGGCTCCAGCAGTCCAAAACATCGTCGTTTCCAGTGTCCTGCACCAGAGCCAGGCCCTTTGGTTCGGCATGGTCCGAACGAAGTCGAGGTCGCCTAGATCCTCGTACCCAGAATGTCCTTTCACTAGTTGAGCATCTATCCGGAGCAAAGCACCGCGTTGAGCATCGTCGAAAACCTCGCTTTGCGCAAAAGCGTGTTGAATACCGCTGCGGTCGACGTCTCCATGTAGCCTGTGAGCCGACTTCTCAAAGAGTATCTGAAATTGAGCAAGCTTGAGACCAAGCTTGAGGCAGAGACGGATGTGGTGACTGACGTGTATTTCGTGCAAAAGACGAAGTGTCACGTGCGCAAACATCTCCGTCTTTTCCAAAGATCCTTGCATGTCTTGAGGCATCTCATTGTTCGAGATACACACCTTGTGCAAGTCAAGCTATTTTTGCGACCTTTGCGGTCTGGTTTTATCGCTATCATGCTTCAGTTGCCTCAAGATTCCTGCTTGGCCCGAAAAATGGATTGTGAGGGATGCACACAGCGGATTGTTGGATGGTGAAAGGTGGTGCTACCGGTCAAAATTGGCGGCGACTTGTCAGAGCCTTACCATTCTGCAACGTTTGGTTTTGGTGCGAGTCCTATTGCCACCTGTCATGTGTTCTGGCCTGGTTAAACAAAGACATGTAGATTTAGCCAAGTCTAGACTTCCATACCACTCCTTGGCCTTAATTGACAGCTCCTGGATACAATGTCTGAAGAAACTATATACACTGCACAAACAGTGAGCCCTGTCAAATCCCGTTCAAAGTTTGTTACAGACATCCCGAAGGAACACATGGCAGTCTCTTCACCAGAAGTTGAGTGCTGTTCAAAGATCAGTGCGCTTGAGTCACTTGAGTCGTTGATCAAAAAGGTGGCCGCTGTAAGATTCAAAAGAAACGCATGTGGCTTGCTGAGGAAAGATCAAACAACTCATCCTGACGCTATGACCTGGTAAGACCAGTGCTGCAAGTCGATGACATAGGATTGGAGACACAGGCCAAGCTTTGGTCCTTCTTCCAACTACTTCATTCAAATGAACTTTGTGTTCTGTCACTTGATGTTCCCCCTTGTGCTATAGAATGCTCAATGATTAACAAAAATGCTCTCATCGGACTAGTTGTGATAGTCAAACGGATTAAGATGTTGACATGTTCCCCCACGCGTATGATGCGGTGTTTAACACAGTGTGATTCTGGGGGTGCATACTTTCAATCGCTTCTCACTTGACCCCTCAATTTGGGCCAATTCCATGGCCAGCCCCATCTGAAAATTCCCCTGTCTTGATTTGCCCAGAAGAGGCTAATGTGGAGAAGTGAAAGGCCGGAGCGAAGGCCTGTGCGAAGGCGCAACCACACCACTTTTCGTGAAATGTGCTCCTGACATGGCCGTCTCTTCCAAAGATCCTTGCACGTCTTGAGGCATCTCATTGTTCGAGATACACACCTTGTGCAAGTCAAGCTATTTTTGCGACCTTTGCGGTCTGGTTTTATCGCTATCATGCTTCAGTTGCCTCAAGATTCCTGCTTGGCCCGAAAAATGGATTGTGATGGATGCACACAGCGGATTGTTGGATGGTGAAAGGTGGTGCTACCGGTCAAAATTGGCGACGACTTGTCAGAGCCTTACCATTGTGCAAGGTTTGGTTTTGGTGCGAGTCCTATTGCCACCTGTCATGTGTTCTGGCCTGTTTAAACAAAAGTGCCAAGTCTTACCGAGTCTTAATTACCTAAACTTCCTTGCCACGACTCGCGGCCTTAACTGAACTGACAGCTCCGAAAGAATGACTTGTGTGTGTGCATAAATAACATTGCGTGACACGTCAAACGTCCTGAATATCACAACTCTGTCAAACCCGAACCCGTTTCAAAGTTTGTTACAGGTGGAGGGCCATCTTGGTCGATGAAAAAAACCAGACATCCCGAAGGAACACATGGCAGTCTCTTCACCAGAAGTTGAGTGCTGTTCAAAGATCAGTGCGCTTGAGTCACTTGAGTCGTTGATCAAAAAGGTGGCCGCTGTAAGATTCAAAAGAAACGCATGTGGCTTGCTGAGGAAAGATCAAACAACTCATCCTGACGCTATGACCTGGTAAGACCAGTGCTGCAAGTCGATGACATAGGATTGGAGACACAGGCCAAGCTTTGGTCCTTCTTCCAACTACTTCATTCAAATGAACTTTGTGTTCTGTCACTTGATGTTCCCCCTTGTGCTATAGAATGCTCAATGATTAACAAAAATGCTCTCATCGGACTAGTTGTGATAGTCAAACGGATTAAGATGTTGACATGTTCCCCCACGCGTATGATGCAGCATACTGTTGATCTCTTCTCACTTGCCCCATCAATTTGGGCCAATTTCATGGCCAGTCCCATCCGAAAATTCACCACCTGTCTTTGGGCGACTTGCCCCAAGTCTCCTCCGTTCCTGGCTAATGTGGAGAAGCGAAAGGCCAGAGCGAGTGCGGCGCAAACACACCACTTTTTCGTGAAATGTGCAAGTGGCATGGCCGTCTTTTCCAAAGATCCTTGCATGTCTTGAGGCATCTCATCTTTCGAGATACACACCTTGTGCAAGTCAAGCTACCCTTGGGACCTGTGCGGCCCAGGTTTCATCGTGCGGCGGCTACCATGCTTGAGCTGGCTCAAAATTCATGGATCGTCATGGCATGCACACAGCCAAAACCTTCAACCGCAGTATTTGGCCACTACTCCTTTGCACCAGCGAGTTGCAAATCTGACACCTTTCAAGCGCTCAACGATTTTAATCTCACCTTGGCCTGTCGTACCTTGCCGTTTGTGCCAAAATCCCACGGTGCAACAACCTGAACCGTACGAATGGGCTGCCACAAAGGCAGCTTGGGCTCAATGGGGCAAGGATGACAAGCCGGGAGGCGTTTGCTGATAGGATTGGTAACATACTCTGAAATACTTTGGTTTCACGATGCTTGTGATGTGGGCATCGATGTATGTCATTTCAGACCATCAAACCAAGCAAGTGAACAAGCTGCTCGTCACGCTGCTCATCACACTGCTCATCGCTGCCAGTTGACTCAACGATTCTGTCATGCTGGTCGTGCCTCAGACTGGGGAGACTAGGAGTGGAAAGAATGCCATGACAAATCCAATCTCCCCTTCTGTCCCAACAGTTTTTTCTGTCGAAACAGCAAAAGCCCAATCCGGCAACATGGCCTGTTTCGTGGATCTTCCTGAAGCCACAAGATCGAGGGCGATATCACGGCAGTTTTTGTCCCAAGAACATACCCGCCCCGGTGACAGTCACAAATTCTCAAAATTTGACTGTCACTCGGCCACTGGGCTAAAAAGAGCTGGTCAAAGGCAGACTGAGGAAACGCCACAAACACGCGTCCGACCCGATATTGGGTTTCATCCGAAACCAAAGATTTCAAAGGCACCTCCGAACAAAGTCCTTTTCAGTGACAAGGAATCCTGGAGAAAGCCTCCGCCTCATCGTCTCATCCAAAAAATGCTGGAAGCGGAAAACCCGCTGGAATTCTGCACCCTTGGCGGCTTGATGGTCACGCGGTGGTTTCTTGGTGTGCAAAAGCTTCCGAGCAAGGCGTTTCGATGGGGATTCTTCTTGCAGTGGATAAGAGTAAGGCTTTGTGTCGATTTACCACTGGTTTTGTTTTGGTTGAGGGAATCAGGGGTAGCTGGCTTACAATGAGCCCATGAACAATGCTCGTCGCACCAATGCATCACGCCTACCAGCCTTCCGCGAGATTTCAGCATCGAGCTTGACAAGCGAGCCGCCAATTTCTTCAAGGCCATAGCGGCCATCGGTGACGAGGTCTCAGACGTGTTTGATCTGCCCCAAGTTCCAGAATACTCTCACTTCACGTGGACGCAGCTGGCCCGTGGCCATCGCTGCCCCGCAAAAATACACCGCTGCCTTGTAGAGAGTCTGGGTGTGAGATGATGGGAGGGATCACCCCATACTAGCACTCTGCTGTGTGGCGGCAAGCACAGGCAAACGAACGGACACCTCGCCATGCTTCGCTTCACCAATTGACGTCCGTGCTTCGCCACCGTTCGATGCCGACGGAGGGACCCAGTCCTCTGCGGGAAGCGACCCAGGCGGCGTACGCGACCGGCCAGGCGGCGTTCGAAGCTTCGATGGAGCGGCGTACACCACATGGACGATGCGAAAGAGTGTCCCAGCAAGATCTCCTTGGATGTCCTTCTTCCACACTGCAAGATTTGGAAAGACAGAGCTGTCACCGCAGACCCGACCCGGAGACCAAACCCTGTCAACTTTCAGTATACGCTCGGTCGTACCCTACAGATCGTCTCAATTCAGGACCGAGTTCCACATCTGAAACCTTTCAACGCTTTGGTTTTGAGCCTTGGTACCACCTTCGCCAATGGTCTGAAGGAGCTCACAACGAGTGCGACTTTATGCAACGACCTGTGCCACCATTCGAGGTAGTCTTGTCTAGATAGTTTCGTGCAGGCTACATTATAGGGATAGCAGGTCAGGAAATGTTTACTGGATTCACGAATACTGTGCACACTGAAACGCCAAAAGTGCATCCCATTGAAGGCTTGTCGAGCTTGCAATGTCGTTGATCTTGGATTGCTCGTCACGCTAGACCACGAGATCCTGCAAAGGCACAAGTTCCAAGGAGCACATTGCAACCTCGTTGTCGAAAGGCTCATGGTCCAAGATTCCCGCATGCATGATTCGGGCATACAGCTCTTGCATTAAAGTACTTGCTGCAGCATGCTCTTGCCTGGAAGCTGATGCGCACAATTCACTGGCCCTTGTGTTGGAAAGGCCCCTGCACGATTGACATACATGAACATCCTGAACTCACTAATTGCGCTCGGGCAGGGTTTTGTGTGGAAGACAGTAAAGTCATGCACTTCCTGATTCCTCGTGGGTTATTTGATGTTAATTGAAATATTGTGCAGCTCGACACTCTGCGCGTTCCTGATCTGTCACAAAGGGCTGTCACCATGCCAAAAACCACTTGACACTGAGAACTTCTTGACTTCTTCACAAGCCGCACCAGCAACACCTGTGTTCCAGTATGGTGTATGTCGATGGGAACACTTCAAGTCTTCAGGCTTCTCAGGCCATGGGCTTTCAGCGAGGAGAGATCTCTGGAGGTCGTTCGAACGCCCCGAAGGCCACGGCCAGGTGTGTGAGGAGCTTGGCTGCGGCTGCGGACACTGCGCACCACCTCGGCGCGGCTGCGTGCCGCTGGCCGGTGGCTGCAGTGTCGCCGGCCCGCATGCGCATGGCCGAGAGGAGGGCGGTGTTCAGTATCAAGTGCTTAAGGAGTTGCTCGGCGGTGTCCAGATTTCGTGCACCCATGGAGCGACTCAGTTTGGGATTACT